TGAAGGCAGTTCTACAGTAAAATGGATGGTTGGAATAGGCAGTTAATAACTAAGAGGTAGTTCTACAGTAAAATGGATGGATGGAATAGGCAGTTAGTAACTATGAAGGTAGTTCTACAGTATAATGGATGGTTGGAATAGGCAGGTAGTAGCTATTAGGATAGTTCTACAGTAAAATGGATGGTTGGAATAGGTAGTTAGTTACTATGAAGGCAGTTCTACAGTAAAATGGATGGTTGGAAAAGGCAGTTAATAACTATGAAGGTAGTTCTACAGTAAAATGGATGGTTGGAATAGGCAGTTAATAACTATGAAGGTAGTTCTACAGTAAAATGGACAGTTGTAATAGGTAGGTAGTAGCTATTAGGACAGTTCTACAGTAAAATGGACAGTTGTAATAGGTAGGTAGTAACTATGAAGGCAGTTCTACAGTAAAATGGATGGTTGGAATAGGTAGTTAGTTACTATGAAGGCAGTTCTACAGTATAATGGATGGTTGGAATAGGCAGGTAGTAGCTATTAGGATAGTTCTTCAGTTAAGTGGATGGTTGGAATAGGCAGCTAGTAACAATGAAGGTAGTTCTACAGTAAAACGGATAGTTGTAATAGGCAGGTAGTAGCTATTAGGATAGTTCTACGGTAAAATGGATGGTTGGAATAGGCAGGTAGTAGCTAGTAGGACAGTTCTACAGTAAAGTGGATGGTTGGAATACGCAGGTAGTAGCTATTAGGATAGTTCTACAGTAAAATGGATTGTTGGAATAGGAAGGTAGAAGCCATTGGGATAGTTCTACAGTAAAATGGATGGTTGGAATAGGCAGTTAGTAACTATGAAGGTAGTTTTACAGTAAAATGGAGGGTCGGAATAGGCAGGTAGTAGCTATGAGGATAGTTCTACAGTAAAATGGATGGTTGGAATAGGCAGGTAGTAACTATGAAGATAGTTCTACAGTAAAATGGATGGTTGGAATAGGCAGGTAGTAGCTATGAAGGTAGTTGTAATGTAAAATGGATGGTTGGAATAGGCAGGTAGTAGCTATTAGGATAGTTCTACAGTAAAATGGATGGTTGGAATAGGCAGGTAGTAACTATCAAGATAGTTCTACAGTAGAATGGATGGTTGGAATAGGCAGTTAGTTACTATGAAGGTAGTTCTACAGTAAAATGGATGGTTGGAATAGGCAGGTAGTAGCTATGAAGGTAGTTCTACGGTAAAATGGATGGTTGGAATAGGCAGTTAATAACTATGAAGGTAGTTCTACAGTAAAATGGATGGTTGGAATAGGCAGTTAATAACTATGAAGGTAGTTCTACAGTAAAATGGATGGAATCGGCAGGTAGTAGCTATGAAGGTAGTTCTACAGTAAAATGGATGGTTGGAATAGGCAGTTAATAATTATGAAGGTAGTTCTACAGTAAAATGGATGGTTGGAATAGGCAGTTAATAATTATGAAGGTAGTTCTACAGTAAAATGGATGGTTGGAATAGGGAAGGTAGTTCTACAGTAAAATGGATGGTTGGAATAGGCAGGTAGTAGCTATGAAGGTAGTTCTACAGTAAAATGGATGGTTGGAATAGGCAGTTAATAACTATGAAGGTAGTTCTACAGTAGAATGGATGGTTGGAATAGGCAGTTAATAACTATGAAGGTAGTTCTACAGTAGAATGGATGGTTGGAATAGGCAGTTAATAACTATGAAGGTAGTTCTACAGTAAAATGGATGGTTGGAATAGGCAGGTAGTAGCTATTAGAGTAGTTCTACAGCAAACTGGATGGTTGGAGTAGCCAGTTAGTAGCTATCCGGGTAGATCTACAGTATGGATGGTTGGAATATCCAGGTAGATGAATGTTACCTTACATCAAACAAGTTCAGTTATAAACAGAGACAGTAAAAAGACTGACTGACTGACTGAGTTTGGTTTTACGCCGCTTTTAGCAATATTCCAGCAACATCACGGCGGGGGACACCAGAAATGGGCTTCACACATTGTGCCCATGTGGGTATTCGAACCCGGGTCTTCGGCGTGACGAGCCAACGCTTTAACCATTAGGCTACCCCACCGCCCCACAGTAAAAAGAAGGAAAAGAAAGCCTGAATAGTTAAGCATGTTTTATTCACCAAGATATATCGTGTAGGATTGTCTAGGATAAAACAACATGTGGTAAAGTGTGTCTTTTGAAATGAACATGCAATAGACACGTATCTAACCATGTCATCGCCATATTCACACCACTGGAATTGGGGATTACCATTTGGAATGGTGGAATACACGGGTATATCCAGACATGAAGCATGATATATTCATGAGACTGCATTTCGTATTCTAATTTCGTGTAGTTGCCCCATGAAAACACCTGGATTAATGCGTTATTGTTGAGTTAGAAATTAGGATAGAGAAATACTGCAACGGCTTGGCTGTAGAGATAACCACCATCTGTTTGTTTAGATGTTCGATATAGATAATGGTTGATGGTGAAATGATAGAGATGGTTTATATTTGTTGCGTGTTGAGTTTGTGGGGCTGTGAAGGCTGTGGGGTGAAGGTCACGTGGAACTACGAGGGTTGAGGAGGCGAACGTTAGGTCGGCAGAAGGTAATGTGAGTGAAGATGATGTGGGGTGAAGAGGTGACTGTTTGCAAGGGTAAATTATGTAGAGGTGAGTGTATGTGTGTGTGTGTGTGTGTGTGTGTGCGTGTGCGTGCGCGTGTACGTGCGTGCAGGCGTGCCTGTGTGTGTGTGTGTGTGGGTGACGGTGACGCGAGGTGAAAGGTGATGTCGAGGTGAAGGTGATGTCGGGTGAAGGTGATGTCAGGGTGAAGGTGATGCAGGGTGAAGGTGGTGTTTGGTGAAGGTGATGTGAGGTATGGTGACGTAGAGTGAAGGTGACGTGGTAGTGAAGGCGATGTGGGGTGAAGGTGATGTGGGGTGAAGGTGGTGTTTGGTGAAGGTGATATCGAGTAAAGGTGATGTAAGGTATGGTGAGGTGGTAGTGAAGGTGACGTGGTAGTGAAGGCGATGTGGGTTGAGGGTGATGTGGGGTGAGGGTGATGTGGGGTGAAAGGTGATGTGGGGTGAAGGTGATGTGGGGTGAAGGTGATGTGGGGGTGAAGGTGATGTGGTAGTGAAGGTGATGTGTGGGTGAAGGGCGATGTGGGGTGAAGGTGACGTGGTGGTGAAGGCGATGTGGGGTGAAGGCGATGTGGGGTGAAGGTGATATGGGGTGATTGAAGGTGATATGGGGTGAAGGTGATGTGGGGTGAAGGTGACGTGGGGTGAAGGTGATGTTGGGTGAAGGTGATGTTGGGTGAAGGTGACGTGGTAGTTAAGGTGATGTGGGGTGAAGAAGGTGATGTGGGGTGAAGGTGATGTGGGGTGAAAGGTGATGTGGGGTAAAAGGTGATGTGGGGTGAAGGTGATGTGGGGTGGGAGAAGGTGACGTGGTGAGTGGGGTGAAGGTGATGTGGGGTGATGGTGATGTCGGGTAAAAGGTGATGTGGGGGGGTGAAAGGTGATGTGGGATGAAGGTGACGTGGTAGTGAAGGTGATGTTGGGGTGAAGGTGAGAAGGTGATGTGGAATTGAAGTTTATGTTGGGTGAAGGTGATGTGGGGTGAATTGAAGGTGACGTGGTAGTGAAGGTGATGTGGGGTGAAGGCGATGTGGGGTGAAGGTGATGTGGGGTGAAGGTGATGTGGGAGTGAAGGTGATGTGGGGTGAAAGGTGACGTGGGGTGAAGGTGATGTGGGGTAAAGGTGATGGGGGGTGAAGGTGACGTGGTAGTGAAGGTGATGTGGGGTGAAGGCGATGTGGGGTGAAGAAGGTGATGTGTTGGTGAAAGGTGATATTGGGTGAAGGTGATGTGGGGTGGGAATGGTGACGTGGGGTGAGAAGGTGATGTGGGGTTAAAAGGTGATGTGGCGTAGAGAAGGCGATGTGGGGTGACAGGTGACGTGGTAGTGAAGGTGATGTGGGGTGAAGGTGATGTGGGGTGAAGGTGATGTGGGGTGAAGGTGATGTGGGGTAAAGGTGATGTGGGGTGAAGTTTATGTTGGGTGAAGGTGATGTTGGGTGATGGTGATGTGGTGTGTGCGCGTGTCACTGCCACATCCCATTTTCTTTAGCTACCTTGTACTTTAGAATAACAGAAAGTACCAACCATGATGACGTATTGTTAAAAAAAGAACCTCTCACCCTTTGGATCAATTTTAGAAATGACCTGATATGCGTTTCTCAGAAAATGGATTTAATTACAACCTAAACATGTTGTGCAATATTCACCTTGAATGTAGATTTACTCCAAAAAGTTAAAATACATCTGCCTTCGTTATCAAATTACACAAGTTCAATAGCTGCCTTAACATTTCAAAGTTGACACTTCAAAAATAGATCAGTAGCTTGCCTCGGCATTTCTATTCCCAAAACTCAATATATAAACTTTTGATAGATTTCCAAAACAAATATTAGACTTGTGAATTTTGGCTTAAATCAAATGGAAATTGTAGGCGCAGTGTCAATGATTTTAATAGAGAACGTACAATATTCAGGTAAACATTCCTTGACTTGACAAACAATGCTTTAGAATGCATCACAGCGAGAGTTGTCAAAAACGACACAACTGGACTTGAGGACGGTGTCCAGTGTCTGTGGTCTAATCGAAGGTGACAGAACCTTGCTATGTATATGACCCTCCACACGGAATATAATCATCATTATTTCAAAAACAGTTGATCTTCATTACACCTAGTTGAAAGGTGTGTTTTAATAAATTTATTTTCGAAAGGCGCTAATGTAACGGATAAATCAAATGAAACCAGGCACTGTGTCCAAGACACTCGAGTCAATCACTCCACAAGTTGATACCCATTTTTCAACGCCACCGTAATGAATGTGTAAACAAAAGTGTTTTAAATGTCGCCCAAAGCGTGAGCGGTGACCGCATGATGGAGCGATCTCGCATTATCTCGGGTGTTATCGGTGATAGCGAGATGTAAAGTAGTCACGTGACCTGTAACAACCCGTCAGCTGACAAGTGGACCCGAAGGTAACTTAGGAAATAGCTCAATGCCACCTGAGATCTTCAGCATACAGGTACCGCATGGTTGGGTTTTAAGGCACATTAAGACAGCTTTACAATACAATTTTGCGAAACAGTTATTGTAAACGATCCGATGTCTTGATAAGGTTTATATCATTAACCAACTGCTGTATTTCATGTCCTGGCATATTATGGGAGACATATGGCGTGGGGATGATTTCGAAATGTTTACTGACAAGGAAATATGTTACTTTCGTCAATTATTTACATAACATTTGAGTCAGTTATATATACGAATGAGAAATAACGTGTAAAGCTCATACCCCTTCCCATCATGTCATGGCAATATGTTTTAAACATGAAAAACAAACAAAAATATTTGATGTATTATCTTATGCATATACGATTACAAATGGCATTTTTCCAAATGGATTTCCAAAAGAAACGCCTTCAAAACCAAGATGCACAAACAATAATGATAATAATAAATACAAACAAAAATATCATAGAAAAAAACTGAAAACATGAGCGTTACGTCAAATGACAGTTGTATATGTAGATTATGACGGTGACGGCGTGGCCTGACAGAAAGGCCCACGAAGGCACAGGTTGTTCTGATGTTCTGTGCGAAACCGAAATGAACCAGGATGGGACTAAGAGATCAAACGTCATTATTTCTGTTCAGCTGATGCGGGTAGCTGTGAAACGCAAGTCTCAACAATGATATAAAAGCCAATTTGTCACCCGTAAGTTCGTACCCCTATGTGTTACTCTGCTGTGACGACACCGTGGCTGAAAACGGCAACATACATGCTGACATATCACGGCTCATAATCGCCTCGAATACAAGATTCGAACCTGCGTGATCTGGTAGCAAAGGGAGGTAAGTATTCACAAAAGATTTGAATTGCTTTACACCACGGGAATCCAAGATTCGAACCTGCGGAATCTGGTAGCAAAGGGAGGTAAGTATTCACAAAAGATTTGAATTGCTTTACACCACGGGAATCCAAGATTCGAACCTGCGGAATCTGGTAGCAAAGGGAGGTAAGTATTCACAAAAGATTTGAATTGCTTTACACCACGGGAATCCAAGATTTGATCCTGCGGAATCTGGTAGCAAGGGGAGGTAAGTATTAGTAAAAGATCTGAATTGCTTACACCACTGAGCTACCTGTAACATTCTCCAACGTGGCCGTTCCGACTGAGTAGATGAAAGCAGACACTGAATCAAGCCGTGTCATGCCAACCCACGCTGACGCCCGCAGCTGCCCAGATTCTTTGTCTAATACTAGTATATAAAAATAGCGATATATCGCAGCAAAATGCAAAGTAACGCTGTCCAAATAAACTATGTACTTTGTCACATTCCCGCGTGCATGCGATATAAGGCTCATTGTGTACGACTCTATCACAACGCCTATAAAACACTAGTCTCGAAACCGGATATTCTGAATGAATGCTCTGCCGGTATCAAAAATGCTTTAGTTACTTAACGCCATGACACGAAAGTTTGTCACCGGTATACTGTCACCATTCCATAACGAAATCAACATACATTTTTTTGTTGACAGTTGTACGCGTTCTGAATACGCCGACAGGATATTCGGACGCGTTCAGTCAACACACACATATTTTTATTATAACAGTGTTATCGATAAGATAAACCAAGTTCATAAACATGCTATCATGATCTGATAATATGCAAATGATGCCGCCTTACAGTTACAACCTTTAAGCTCAAAACATCAATGCGATTTTTTCTAAAAAAAATTCTATTAACTAATTTTTCTCAATGTGCTTTGATTTTGGTTTTCCATTTGTCACCTGTTTCTCTTTGCACACGTGGCTATAAGTCATTGCCACTATATGCTACATTAGGCGGTTCACTCAAATACTGTATTCATGTGCGGTTTGTGTTGAAATTCGTAATAAACGTTCATTACATGAAAGAGATAGAATTACACTATTGTGCTTCCTTATTGTAAATACCCTATGGTAACTAGAACACATTTGTACAGTAAGTAATGGTTATAACCAGTGAGTGTGTGAATATGCTTTTACGCGCTTTGAACAACGTCACGCCAAAGGCCCAGGTTCAATTCCCCACATGGGTACAGTGTGTGAAGCCCATTTTCTGGTGTGCCCTGCCGTGATATTGCTGGAATATTGCTAAAACCATACTCCAGCAATATCACGGCGGAGGATGCAGTAATGTTTTCACACATTGTGCCAATGTGGGAAATCGAACCCGGGTCTGGCGAGACGATCGAACACTGTAACCTGTTATTCCCCCCGCCACACAGTTGTAAAGGGGCCATCGTTCGTTTTACACATTTCGACTAAAACATATATGCAGCAAGTGTCCGGAACAAACAAAACAACCCGAACAGCTCGTTTCATAAGAGTGTTCGTCATTAAAGTAATATACTGTATTTTGCTCCCCAAATGCTGCGTATGGAGAGTAAACAATTCTCACGTACGTCAGTATTTATAAACGTACGATGCAGACAAAGGACTGCTATATGCGTATAGTGTACATATAGGCAAGAGAAATATGAGATACATACCCTGGATTCGAAAATGAGAACTCGAAAACACTAATAAATGTAATTTTATGATGATTATTTGCATAATATCCCACTGACCAAGAGTAACGTCAGTCACAAACGTACAATACTTGGCCTATAGTTGCTGGGTTTGTATCTTAATGTATAGTGTCAAGGGTTTGGTTCAGATATCAGTTTCAGCCTGGATTACCCCGGTTAAATAGATTTGAAACGTATTCGACACAAACGGGACAAAAACTAAAATATGACTATGTGAAAATGCCCTCTTATTGGAAGTGTGCCTCGTTGAACATATGACACATTACATATTAAATGACGCATCGCAAACGCATCTAGTTAGAGTAAGTTCTAGTCGTAAAATTATTGTTACTACAGTACAAATCATAGAACTGTTGTTACCAGAGATAATTCAACTTAGATAAGGTTCTAGTCATAAAGGGGGTGGTGGGAATATTGCTAAAAGCGGCGTAAAACCATACTCTCACTCTAGTCATAAAACTGTCGTTACTACAGTTAATTCAACACATGCTGTAGTTAGGATAACACTTTCTCAGTGAAGTATCGAATCTAGTACTTTTGTTGGGTTGAGCGTCAGTTCTGTAATTAAAAGTGGTTTTACAATAGTTAATTCAGCAGGTCAGTTCAGGTCAAAAAGTTGTTGTCATCATGGATGATTCAGCTGAGAGTCAGTTCAGGTCACAACGCTGTTGTCATCATGGATGATTCAGCTGAGAGTCAGTTCAGGCCATAACGCTGTTGTCATCTTAGATGATTCAGCTGAGGTCCAGTTCAGGTCATAACGTTGTTGTCATCTTAGATGATTCAGCTGAGGTCCAGTTCAGGTCATAACGTTGTTGTCATCTTAGAATATTCAGCTGAAAGTCAGTTCAGGTCATAAAGTTGTTGTCATTATAGAGGATTCTGCTGAGAGTCAATTCAGGTCATAGAACTGTTGTTACGATAGTTTATTCTAGTTAAATGGTTACATTCTGTAAAAGGTAAGTCCCAATGATAATGTTTATATTAGGTAACAGCCGTACAACAGTTGTATTCTGCGTCGACACAACCCTTATCTTAACCAGCTATAAGTATCAAAACAATATAAAACGTCAACAGTGAGGAACAGGTTCAGATTATCAACTAAAACAGAATCCATTAGATTTCCAGTTTTCATTGTTTTTTCAAACTTGTAACTTCATAAATAATAGGAAAACGAAAGCTGCGATGTTCTTAAGACTGGTAGGCGACAAACACGTGCTGTAGATTGTACGTCACAGCACACTGCACAAACCCATATGTTTTGTTCATTTTCATCTGTTCCCATATATAAGGTACAACAAGGTATTGGATATAAGGAGTAACCACGTCTTTGTTCTCTGAGACACATTGCTGGGACCGTCACACTGAACTCGTTCTTATCAACCATAGAGTTTCAATGTGACAGTTTTGTTGCACAGAGCGACCGTCCTGCTTTTCAAATGTAACTGGAGAAACGGCACAATTTAACTGTGACAGTTTCATTGCAAACACGAGAACAGATGCAACAACACAGCATTTACTATTAGGCTTAAATCGCAAATATTATGCCAGAAGGATTACAAACCCACCAGAGATAAGAAGTAAATGAGACATTCTTCAGACAATGTGTACACAGTTCTAATGGCATCTCCACCTGCAGAAACATGACTGAACATGGTTTAAAGGCATGTGCGCAGACACAATTAAGACAATCATTCCTAAGTCAATTCTCTTTGTCAGAATGACATTTATGTTTCCGAAATAGCTTCAATTAGTGAAGGTTGGTTAGAATCGACCACACTGGCTACAGTTTGTCTTACTATTTTCCGTTAAGTATGACTGTGGCGAAAATAGCTCTTCGTGATAAAAACTCTTCTAAATTAAAAAATATCTAAACTGGCAGGTCAAGAAAAGGTTCCTGGTGCGTTTCTGCGGGAAATGGCAGAATTTACATCCCTTCTCCGTGTTTTTTTCTTAAACACAGACAAAAAATAATTAAGAAAATTTAAGATAAGAAAGTAAATTTGAAGTGGATCGTAGTGATACCACCATGAATCGACATTGATTAAATTTTGTGTAAATGTGCGAAGTCATCAAAATGCACGAGACTGGGAAAGTGAGTCACTTTTGTCATATTTTTGACGAGAAAGCAGTTGGTGTACTTTTCTGATCTGACAACACGAAACATACAAGAGATTGGACATCATCACAAGATGATGAGTGACCGAAACAGAAGTGACAATAATAAACATTAGTCATGCCCCATATATCATCTGATGGTGGGTTTGAGACACTGACACAAGTGAGTGCATGTGACAGATATTAACATCTAGTGGGCACTAAGCGTTCCCAATATTTATGCATGTCTGAATGTGTTTAAAACCTAACTGATAAAATGATGTTCAGGGTTTATCCATGGCCTAAATGTGAAATAGGTTTGGTCCTAATGGGTATGAACATGTTCCTGGTTTCTGTATAGACTGAATGTGAATGTTGTAGATCAAATGGACAAAAACAGGCTCAAAGTTTATGCATGAAGTAAACGTGACAGAGTTTCAGACAAAGCATTCACAAAACACACCCATACATTCACTGAACGTAAATTAGTTTCAAAGAAGAAAAAGTCTTTAACGTAAGAGAATGTTCAGTTCTCTGTTATCTGGGAACAAATATTCCCCCGGCTGTAAGAGACAAAATAATGGTTTAAACTATATTAATGGATAACGCAAAACCTGTAAACAAAGATATTCACGCAATAAACACAAAACATATTCTACCAAGCACAGACTGATACGTGGACTGAACAGGACATCGTTTCAGAGCCTTTCACAAAACCGATTCGAAACTGCAAGGTCGGCCATTTTCTCTTACGATTCACCACTCAACATGGCCACTCACCAGCATCTACAACAGTTTCTACCACACTAACCACACTACAGTCGTCTACCATGCCAGTTTCTCATAAGAAGCAAAACATGCACAACGAAAGCAAAACGAACGGGTATGAATAACTGTGACAGATTCGGCATAACGTCGACTGGATTTCCGGCAGTCATTCTGGTAGGCTACAAGCATGCGATAGCTGTCATCCTGCGCGTTTCCCAAGTAATACCAGCAATTCTCCGGGGCTGTCTTCCCCGACGTTAGCCTCTCTTTACTAAGTTCTAGTGGCGTGCAAAAGTTTATGGTGTCGCCCGACAGACTGGTAGAGCTCCACAATAAAGACTCATAATTGTCACGAGTCTATGATGTGTGAAAATTGCTGGCAACCCGACACCAACCGCTCTTCGGCCTTTGATCAAAACGACGCTTCGAATCTGAAACGGAATACGGATTGGCATTAAAAGAATTGCTCCATTTTAAAATAGCTGCAATTTTCTATGTTGAACATACACCAAGCGTAATTCTAACTAGCATGCTATAAGTCTGGCATCCCTGGTTGGTGAAATATGGTTGTACATTATGTAATTATGTAACCTGATTTTTGAAATATTGATTTAGAATGCGAGAGTCTTGCTGGGTGCGCTTGGTAAATATGTTTCATGTGCGTTAGTCTGACGTATCGGGTTGGTACTGGACGTTTAAATGAAACTTAAAGGGTATCATGTTTTAAAAGCACAGTCGAATAAAAGGAAGCTTTGGTGAAATGTTTCTAATAATATTGTTTAACATGCAATATTTCTACTCCTGTACGTCATATACTTCGTTATATCGAGAAATATATTTCCGAAAAACAATTACGTTATTGTCAGTGAGCGTTTTATACTAGACCTGCCTCATTATGAAATATCACTTGGTGGGACTGATTGAGTTGCCTGTTCTGGTTCTATTGTCTGGATCCTGCTGCGATGTCGGGAGTTGTTTTAGTGTCAGTCCAATAAATTACATTTGCGGGACATATTGCTAAAAAACTAAGAATATGAATTGATGTATTTTTAAAGAGGCCCCTCATCAGAATAACATTTGATGACTGACTGACTGAGTTTGGTTTTACGCCGCTTTTAGCAATATTCCAGCAACATCACGGCGGGGGACACCAGAAATGGGCTTCACACGTTGTGCCCATGTGGGGATTCGAACCCGGGTCTTAGGCGTGACGAGCCAACGCCTTAACCATTAGGCTACCCTACCGCCCCAACGTTTGATGATATAACCATGACGGACATGACGAATTATTGTCTACATCGAATGTCATTCTAACCGAAAGATTCTTATCGCGACTGGTTACTTCGGTTAATACGAAATGGCATTTCTTATCTTCGTGATAACCGTAGTTGAATGCAGTATATATATTCTATGTGTAAATGTATGTATCTTAATGCTATATATTTCTTTTACCAAAGCCCACTGTCATCTGATGTATATTGGTCCATTATTTACTCATGCCAATAATGGTTGTCACCCCCTTCAATTTTTTTAATTGGAGAGGGGGTGTGGGGTGGGGGGTGTGGGGTTTGGATGGGGATGGGGTGGGGTGACAACCATTATTGGCATGAGTATATTTATGTATGTTTGTTATGGGACGTATATTCCAGGTCCTTGAACCTTTAAACTAGACTAGCGACCCTCACTGAGTGATTCCAGTGGAGAGCCTATGTCGGAATATCGTCTCTGATTCCATTAATCAACTACGGCTATAACGAAATCTGATACAGCGAACAGTTGTTTTCAACGAACCCATTTTTTTCCTAGGACTGAATAATGAGTTTGGGATATGACGGCATTGTTTCTCTGAGTAATTACATTTGTTGTTGAAGATATCGTGTTTCTGTGGCAAGCCCTGTATAGCTTAAACGCTTTAGCTTTCATAACTATAGATCATCAATTACATTTATCATTACGAGCTTACTCTGCACAAAGTAAGTGTTTGACGTTAGTAATTACATATGTTTTCAGGACAGAATGCAACTTTGCTTGAATAAGAGTTGGTTTCAATAAGAAACAACCCCCAAAAACACCCCAACAACACCCCCAAAAACAACCCCAAAAAAACAAAAAAAAAAATAAATAAATAAAAAATTAAAAAAAACAAACAACAACAACAAACAACCAAAAAAGCATGAATCTAATTCATAGTTGAACTATAGTTGTATTCGTTCTCTTCATGTAGACTTCGTTCTGAAAATGTTTCATTTAGAAACAGTAATTGATCTTTGATCCTTTTAAAGATGCTGATGTATGTAAGAGAGGTGGTTGAACGCCAGTTGGACTATATTTTGGAATCAGTTACAACCACCGTTGTGTCGAAGTTGAAAGTTCTACGTACGTAGTTCGAGTTATCCGAGTTTCGACACAAAGGTAAATGATGACAAAAAGTCATGGAATGAGCTGAAACCAATTGAAAGCTTGTACTTCGAGACAAGTGCTGCGAGGTGCAAGTTCGACACAACGGTGTTTGGTTGTATAAACACTCCACTCAGTTAACTGTGATGCCTGTGCTAGAGTGAGTGAGTGAAAATGGTTTTACGCCGCTTTTAGCAATATTCCAGCAATATCACGGCTGGGGACACCGGAAATGGGCTTCGCACATTTTCCCCATGTGGGGAATCGAACCCGGGTCTTCGGCGTGAGCCTGTGTTAGATCACTATGATGTTTTGTTTGTTTGTTTCAATATTCCAACAATATGACGTCAGTTTGTACATAATCGACTCCCATAAGTCGCTCTTCACATGCTGGAGACCAATTCTAACCAGGAATTCCACGGTACACCACTAAGGCGAAACCCATTGAAAATGAATGGGTACCATAACGGTACACTTCTCTGATATTGCTTCATTAAAAGTCCACTTATTAATTAATTTCAATCAGATTAATTATTTTAAAAAATAAACATCAGTAATATATATTACGGCATCCGCCCTATCATTACGCCACTGGAATCGTGAACATAATTAGTTTCCCTATATATACTTATATACAAAAGATCTGTGACCTGAAAACACCCTCACTTCGGGAATGAGATCTGGTAATGTTATATAATTACTGTTTACATACTGCAGAGATACTGATAAGAGAGTCTCCTTCTGTGCCGGGGCTCTTTTCAGATGGCCCTGGGGTATGTACTCGGGTCATCATTACACGGCTTCGTTAACTGATAACAACGCAATTTTACGTAAAAAATATCAAGATAAGAGTGACGACGTCATCAAAGCGAGGAGTTGTAGTGGGTTTTAGGTATTGTAGCTAATATGACGATTTGACTTAGATTGGAGAATATATATATCTATAGATTTTTATACTATTTAAAAGGATTAAGAAAATAGTTAGAACATTTAACAGAAATTGAACTTGCTGATTCTTGCCATTATGTAATTGGGTGAATGAGTGGGGTATTTTTAATTTACATCATGTTATGTAGACGTCTTGCATCTTAGGAATCAGGTCGTACAGAGAATGGCAGATTGTGTCACTTCGAAGCACAACCGACACATATACTATTCAAACTTTGCTAAGGATCAAGTCATGGATTCAACAGAAAACTATGATGTGGGGTTAAATTTGGTTTAAATATCTAAGCTTATTGTAAGCATGGATCCTAGGTTTCAGTATGTCATTTCATCTTGTGGATCCCATACCTGCTATTGACAGGTGTTGTGTACTTGTCGTTCCATGATTTGCAAAATGGTTGATTGGTGCCATGAAAACCATATTTACGGTTACTCATGTATCAAGTGTATAAGGTCAAATTAAAGTGACTGTTTGCCTAAAGAGGGGTTACCATATTATTATTTATCCAGTTTTAAAAGATACAATTTCAAATTATGAATCGACGTTTAAGCAAAGTTGTGAATTTTTGTGATCCTAAGCAAAGTTTGAGTGGTATATATTGTGCCAATGACACATAAATTCAGATAATGGGATGAAACAAGGCTGTCTGTGTATGACTTTCCAAGAATCAGGGGAGGTGGGACAGCCAAGTGGTTATAGAAATCAAACAAGTGTTCGATGACATTCTTCAGGTGCTTTACTCCAAGTATGTATGATGTTCCCAACATCGGTAGTTACTAACTAAATCGGTATATCACAATATGCTGAATCACGAAGTATGATAGGGTAGCTCCATGGTTAGAGTGTTCGCTCGTCAAACTGTGACCTCCGTTCGATTCCCACGTGAGTGAAACCAGTTTTTGTGGTGAACTTTGTGAATGTGTTGCAATGCCACTTAATGGAACATTAAACACATACATCCACCCACCCACCAACTCACTAACCCACCAAGGAACCAACCAACTCACTCACCCACCCACCCCTTCTTCCACTCACTCACAAAACTCACTCATAAATCACCCACTCACTCACCCTTCCTACCACAACCATTCAACGGAATCCTTTAATAGATTTACTAGATTGCCTAACTCAATAATTCAATCTCAACGCACGAACCATCCGTAGTGTGTGGATTCTTGAATCCAATTAAATCCCAATAAAGTTATCTCTGCGCATGTGGATATCAACTTTCCGATAAAAGTAAGCCCAGATTTATGGACAACTGTAACGAAACCCTCCGGATGAAACAACTCCTAAATCTGTAAATACCTGTGTACGAAACTAGCCTTACAAAGTGATCCATTAACAAAGCCGAAGTGTGAAACATCTCTCCTTTGTTTTTACAATGTGAGTACACCTTGCAGCCCCCAACATGTTATAGGATGAGTTACCGAGTTCCATTGGTCATTTGTGGTGATGACCAGAGGCTAGTTGGCACTTCCAAGGCTTGTTTGGGAAGCCGAAACCATATCTGTCTCCTCCATCGCCATAAACACCATCGGCCATTGCCGACACATTGGCAACGGTACTAAAGACTTAATTAACGTTGCACTGACTGCAGGCGCTTTATTTCGCCACCTGTTTTTACCACCGTCGAGTTTTGTCCCATGTTTACTTTCATGTCGTAACAAGGAGGTGAAGGGGAAAGGGCTAGATACAGGCCATCGGGTTTCTGTAAACATAAAATATGCATATATATGGCTCAGTATTGATTACCCAGCGTCCTAGGTAACTGAAAGAGGTCGGTTGGCAACTGTTGGCGCTGAAGCATGTCTCACACGGCTGCATGTAATGAAACGTGTATTTCACATACGTCACTTTTCATTGCGCTTAATTTTAATATCCTTTTAAGGGCTGCAGGTGTTTTCGATATTCCTTTGCAACTTAGTGACAATGTTGCCCAAGCAATTGTTGCGACATGACTGTGTATAATTCGTGTTTACAGGAGACCCTCGACACATCCTGATGGCATTGTGGACCGTCTTGTCCGACCTACTGATCCGTGGTGCTGTTATGATTAGAGAACAGTTAGGCTTTTACCTTCTTTAAAGAACCCCGGGTGCAGTGACGTATGTAGATTCATTTGCGGTGTGTTGACTGCGTCAGAATAACGACCCTCTGAAAAGATAATTGGAATATCAACACTAGCTGTTATGTCAGCGAGGAGCGATGAATGTTATATTGATGTACTTTTAACAATAAAATCGCAAATGATATTGTAAACAAACCTACCCACCCCTTCAAACGGAAGGAAAATTCTTACCGTCGCAACACAGGCTTGCCTGAGTAATAGAGTGCGATTCAATCCATCAAATCCAACCAAAAATGTGTCTCGAATATTTTTTAAAATGAAACTAAAAATTAACTTGTTTTATTTTCAAACTCTACTCTGATATTTTTTAAGATAGTGATGTTTTACTCTCCTGCGGAATTAAAATAAAGACAAGAAAATAAGTTTTTTCCCTCCCCTACAATATATAATTTGAAGCATCATACTAACTCAAAGGTATACCATAGGGGGATCTAGAGGGGGGTGCAGGGGTGCGCACCCCCCTTTTGTCCTGAAAGTTAAATGACCGTTAAAACTTGGGTGAAAATAAAATGTGCACCCCCCCTTTTTTTCTCAATAGTGTGCACCCCCTTTCTCAAAAAGCTGTATCCGCCCCTGTATACTGTTTTACTTTATCCTTTATACTCAGTCATATGTGTGTATGTTAGATTACTATGTAAGTACATGCACCGCGCCGTGGTCTAAAGGATGGAGAGCGTCTGCCTGGAGAGAACACGGTCTGTGGTTCAATTCCAGGTACCGCAGAAAAGACGTTAAAAGTAGTTGTTTTAACAAAGGACATAAAACATGACAGGTAAGCCTGGAGTCAGTCTGCTTGAGTAGGGTATCCATGCTAAACCGGCGGCAAGGTGTCTCAGTAATAAAACCAGTATTAGTCTCTACCACCACAAGCAGCGACACGCCCATCCACGTCGCTACATAAGTACAACTGAAATCGACATTAAATCCGCATGTTACCTTATTTCATTTCTACTACATCCATATCTAACCACCACACTCAGACGAAATTCACAGCCTAGCAAAAGAGATTATGCAAATGAATGTCGGATTTGACTTAATTATAAGCAAAGCGAAACAATGCTACAAAACGAAACAGCAAAAAACAGGCTCAAAACACAACTTTGATCTCCATACATCGCCATCAGATATTCAATTATATGTTTCGTTTTCAGCACATCAGACCACAGTGTATACCTTTTCGTCGGCAGGGAATAAAAACGCTGTATTTCAATTTCATTATAATGTTCGAAGGATATGTATTCTACAAGCGATCAAAGAAAACTATTTCGCAACATGTTGTCCTCACACAATCAACAACATCTGTCTGTGTTTGCGGATGTGAGAATAAGCTGCGCCAGTTAACCGGGCCTTCATGCGGAACTCTGTTGTAATGTGTTAATAATTTTCAAGGATAATTTGATATTTTTATATAAAATATCTAGCAAAATATTGTTGAAGTTTGTGGTTTGACTTCGTCTGTTAATTCTCTTTATTTTCATATTTCCAACAATTAGCCAATTACTCACACATGTTTTTATCAAACGGAGTAAACGTACACATCACTGGGTCTCTACTCTAGCAACAAACAGATCTGAATACATTTCCACAACTTTTCATTTGTGTTAAATGTCAGTTTTTTACTTGATAGAACCTAAGGTTATTTGGGTTTTCAACAGTCATTAGTGTAGCTGAATGATTTTCGTATAACATTGAACAATATTGCAATTGTATCACGGCGGGTCATTTGACCTTCGATAAAAGCTCGAAGTTATGCAGGTATAAGACGTTTACCACTGTGGTGCTGTCAAAACTTGAAACATAATGAGGGGGAATTCAGGATTCGAACCCTCAACAAAGAACACAACTGCGCACAGCTAATTGCGGCGCCTTGGTCGAATAGGAAATCCGTGCCCCTGTGTTATATGAGTGATATAGTTTAGTTTTACGCCGCTTTTAGCAATATTCCAGCAATATCACAGCGGGGGATACCAGAAATGGGCCGCAAACATTGTACCCATGTGAGGAATCAAACCCGGGTCTTCGGCGTGACGAGCGAACGCTTTCATCACTGAGCTACCTCGTGCCTCTGAGTTATATGGACGCAATAACTATGATAACTAAGAACCTGGGACTGATGTTTGTTGCGATAATCGCTTTGACCTCTTATCATCACTGATAATCCTCACACTATTTCCCCTGGCTTGTCAGGATCCGCGTACGGCGAGTTCGAATCTCAGATTCGACCGGCTTATGTTTCAAGGGTATGATCATCTGTATGTTAGGGCTAGACTTTCACCAACAAGGCGCACATGTGCGTTAACATCATTTGGGATCTTCTTCCCAACTCATATTGAGCTGGCACATGGTGTGATGTAACTATACTGACACGCAATAAATACGCAAAAATCAACTTTAACTCGAAATCAGCAAATATGTGTTTTGTTCATCTTAAAACATCGATTGAGATTCGAACCCGTGGGACGACACTGTGGTTTTGCTTCCGTCATACCTAAATACCACGAACTGGAATTTACGGCCATTTTGCAAAACGTTGCGTTTCAAAAATGATCAGTATATTTCGGCCAAATATGCAGCTTCCTCAAAATCTTGTATCATTAACATCATCATTATGTATACGTTGTTCTGAATGTTTCATCATCAAATCAAAATCCCATTAAAAACCATTTGACAACAATTGTCGAACTAGCATTTTAACTCAAATCCATCGAAGCATACATACCAAGCACTCGACTGATGTCTTAACAGTTTCCCCGTAATTAAATTGTTACATGAAGTCTTTCGTCTCATAACGGTGACCAGACAGAGTACTTTGAGGTATTGACGTTATCTGGTTCCCTTCTAGGTGATTCCCCATCCATCACTCCCATGGCCGGAGCTGAATGTTACAAAGCCTCGAACAAAGGCACCGTCGGGTAACGTCGACTATCTATCCCTCTTCTCAAGCAATCCTGCTGCGATTCCTTATCGCGCCAGAGAAAATGAAGCATAATATAAGTGTTTGAAAGACATACGATAACACATGTCTTATTAAGAAGCTGTTAAACTGCAAAGCCAACACACCAAGATACAATATTCTTATCACCGTCTTCTCCTTTTCGGGTTCCCCCGCAGCGAACGCCGATACAACCGCCATGCTTCAGACTCTAACACCGATGTCGAGGCGTTTTATTATCCATCCACAAAACCCCACAAACGTCTAAATTTCAAACTTGTCCAAAAACTTTTCCCCCTTTGCGTGCGGGTCTCCTCTTCAAGCCATTCTTATCAGACCACCGTGGGCAGCGTTACCAACCCTTATTCCATCCCGTCGCGATGCACGTCGACTTAACGTCATTTACCGCACACCGGGGAACAAAAACATTGAAACATGTCAGTCTAGCCTTGAAGATAATGTCCGTCTGTGCACCTACTCCCCAACCCCCTCCCCACCCTTGTGTGAAACACAGAGGGTGGGATCTGACACACCCGTCTGTCCTCCTTCATTACATGCTGATCTGTATGTTTATACGTCCAAGGTCAAGGTCATGCCAATCTTGCGCAAGAAGGTATTCGGGATTTACATCATTGGTTGTTGCCGTTCAGAGAAGACTTACTGTAATAACTACCATCATCACTATCATCATTATCAGCAGCAGCAGCAGCATCAACGTTATCTTTGGCAGCAATAGTAGTATTAAAATTCATCATGATAATCATAGTAGTATTCATCATCATCATGATCATTATCACCATCATCAGATTTGCTCTGATTGTAATGACTCGTGGCTTGGCAAGTAATACCAGTGTTTCAAAGCGACAAGCGCCACTTTGAATATCCCCCCAACAAGGAACATTAAAAATGTCACGGACTCTATTATCGTTGCTAATATATTTTTCATCATCACGTTCATTATGTCATAGGTCACTTTTCAACACACAATAAACCTTGTTAATCTGCACACTCTGCATTCTGGACAATTAGGGAACTTCACGTCCATATGACCTGTTCATCCAGAACTGGATTTACCATCAAGATTTCACGGGCAGTGACATTCTGTGGATTAACATTAAAAGGTAATCTGTGACGATATGGTGAATCGTATCTCTGTCTGAATTCAGTCCATGTATCTACGATGCTATCAGATTTCAGATAATCACATTGCTTGTTCTAAAGTCACACAAAACCAATATTGTGTTGCGCAAGAGAACCACCGACACCTGCCTACAACTTCGTTAGTTCGGACCCTGGAAATCTGGACAATCTCTTCCCGATTACCGCTGGAAAAGCTATTTCAGACAAAGTGACATTATGGGGGCGGTTGGGTAGCCCAGTGGTTAAAGCGTTCGCTCGTCACGCCGAAGACCCGGGTTCGATTCCCCACATGGGTAAAATATGTGAAGCCCATTTCTGGTGTCCATCACCGTGATATTGCTATAATACTGCTAAAAGCTCACTCACTCACTCGTCTGTTAATGAGAGTAATTACTTATTCAGCGTAACCATGCTACTATTAGCGCTATTTCCCTAACTATTATTTTGTATAGACAAAATTATGTGTTTATAACCAAAGTGTGACTGAAGTGTCAACGGTGAGGTATGAAGAGGTTTAAAGGTTACCTGTTAAGATCCGGGTTAGAATTGGTCTTCAGCAACCCATGCTAGGTGACTAACGGGGTCGGTTGGTCAGGGTCGCTGACTTGGTTGACACATCCCGATTGCATAGATCGGTGTTCATGCTGTTCATCATTGGATTGCCTGGTCCAGGCTCGATTATTAGGTGGAATGTTTTCTGAATATGTTAAACAACAAACAAACAAACAAACAAAAACTTATGAATATATACAATAGAACAAAACCCCACCAATAACAGTAAACAATAAAACACCTCGCATCACCTGGCTGTAACAGGTTTTAATAGATGTAAATTGAAAACGCATGTGCTATTCATGTTTGTTTTTTCTCCAAAGTATTTAGCACAATGTGTTCTACCCCATGAATGTATTGCCTGATAGCATTAAGTAGGGATACCAGATAACTTATCGACTGATATAAACGAGTGACTTAACTCCTAAATGTAAAACGGCATACACAATGGAGGATGGAGCATGTTTTAAAAGGGTGTCTATTGGTGCATAATCCCAACATACGTTCAGAACATTTGCCCTAATGTTTCCCCGTCCACTTAAATGCATTTGATAATGTTCTCACAAAGTAAACCTCTTAAACGTTGTAATCAAAATTCCCAGCGTGAACCCCGACCCGGAACTAAATGGTTCGATGGCTAATATGGGTATCGCATATACGAAGAAATACGTGCACTTTTCAAACTAATTCGAAACAACTGTTGACTATGGCTCAGCGTGAGCGCTGAAAAGCAAGCTGTGACTGCTAGTGGTTGTGTGCGACATCTGGATGCACCATCCTCGGCGTTGCGCGACGTCACCGTGCTTACGGTGTGATATTCAATCTATCATGCGGGTGTTTGCCCGTGGGTCTGGTGAACAGAGCCCTTGGTAACTCCTCATCCCGCCGGGGGGTCGGGGAAGGGTAAACATCAACGTGTTCACATCCGTGCCGTATATGGATGCACTGGTTGCGCTCAGTGGCTATACGTGCTAAAGGCTTTGATGGGTGGAGGGTGACAGGTTGTATGACACTAATGTTGGTGACAAATATTTATCCTTAAAATGGTCCAGCATTTGTATCAGGTTTTATCACTTTGAGTTTCCAGCGGAAGCGTTGCTGCATTGGTCTACGGATTTGTGTGCTGCTTTTGTTTAAATATTTTCGTTTTTATTCTGAGATTGTGTTAGATTCTACGATTCCTATTTGTAGCACACTTGGATAGGATATTGATTTTTGATGCACGTGTGCAAAGTAGGTGCATTAGACAAATGAGGATATGGGTCACGCCGTGGGCTTCCGCTCAATGTAAAAGGAACTATTATATGGTTAAAACATGTTTCTATCTTTTTTTATGTCTCTCATAATTCTATTTTGAATTATGCTGTACACTTTTATAGATGAATCATATGTACAATTTCAGCACTGTACAGAAGTGAGACGTTAATAAACTAGTATCTGTAAAGTAGCAACGGGGTGGCCAATTGGATGATGCCCGCTCGTCGCGCCAAAACACACAGTTCAAACCCTGCATTGTTGACGAAGATTTAGTTTCTAAAATGAAAATAAGTTTTTGTTTAAACCTCTCTCTCTCTCTCTCTCTCGATTATCAAATATCATTTTGTATCTTCTATATGTCGCGGCCATAATATTTCCGAGTGCCATGCTGGGATTCGAACCACGGACCTTCTGATCCGAAGTCGGACGCCTCGTCCACATGACCAAAGAGGTTTACCCCGTCGCAAGCTGGCAAAGTAAGGATGTCATCTACGGGATGACTCCACGCCCCGCAACACACATATTACACGAAACAGAAACTTTTGAACGAAAAAAAAATCAAATTTCATGAGTAAATGAAATTTACTATTGCCAAAGCCTTGTGTACCATGTTTGAACATAATTCGAAGTCCGCTGACCTTCAGCGACTTTGTATGGTGGCTAATATTCAATAAAGACAATAAGAATACTATTGTTCTGCATTCGTTGTAAAACGCTATGGGTGCATGATAGAGTAAGCTTTCCCGTGCTGAACTGTCTCGTAGAACGCTACAGTATCAAAGCCCGGCGTTTGCATGAAGCTATTTTATTTGATGGTATCACGACACTTAACTAAGCGAGCGTCTTAAGAGCTATGTCAAGTAGCTAGAAACACGTGTATACCGTTAACCTACTTTGTCTTTGCGCCAAGGATTAAACAACCCCGCAACGTGTAACACGCTACTTTCTGAGCCGAAAACGTACAACCGTGAAAGACAATGTATATTAACATACGACCTGGAAATTGAACCCATTCCGACTATGTCCTTGAATGGATTTATACCGAGTTTCGCAGCTTACATTTGAAAGAATATCTTTTTGTCTTTTGGGGTTTTTTTCGCCCGGTTTTGATTGATTAAGAAACCTTTTGTGAACGAACACGGCACGTCGATACGAGATGACAACTGAAATTCATAACAAGACGTGTTTCGGCTTGTTTTTCTCGTGCAGCACGCACCCCGCGTCTTCGCACGTGTCATTTGAGCTTTCTGCATGTTTGTAGTGAAATTGACAGCTTCACAGGTCGAGAAATGTAATTTGTTCCCTGGATGAAATATGTCATTTACAGGTGTACATTTCTTCAAACAGACTGACAAATGTTGCATGTGCATTTCAATATGCCCTCCTTTGTAGGTGTCTATTTCAAAGGTTTCGTAAATAAATAGTTTTCACTTTGTATTTCTTTGTCAAAAGATCTGCTGTCAATCTGAATGCGACTACGAAACTTTATATTTTTAATCAAACCTAACGTGACTGAAATAACTCCTTTATATTTTATCCAAGGTAACAAGATCTCCTGTTGCTGTGTTTTGCGGTTTGTGTCACTCGACGATAAAGAAATAACTGAAAATTCGTTAGAAACGATTTTCCAAGCATCCTTCGATCGTGTTTTCGTTACATTTACGCAGAAAAGACATCGTTAATATTTGCAAATTTACATTAGCATGTCATTATAGTCTCTCATCGAAAAAAAATAACAAAATTCGCCGAGACGCTTAACAAAACGAAATGCAAACAATCATGAAACTGCGTTATTATTTTAGGAAAAAAATTGATCGTTGCCCCAAAGTACAAACAGTTTCCACGTAAAGTCAGATTAGATGAAGATAAGAATCAATCTCTCCTGTTTGTATGCAATATCGCATTGACAGTTAACAGTTAGCTGATGAGTATATAACTGCATGTTCTGTGGGAGGGTGGGGTAGAAGGAAGGATAACATCGATGTGCCCCCTTCCCCCTCAGCGTCGCCCGCCCCGGGGTGTGATGTAGCGGTGGAGTGGGGAGGTACGACAAGTGATTAGGCTTCAGCAATAATTAGTTAATTAGCTCCCTGCTGCTGTTGAATGAGAAACACGTAGAGCTGAACATTGGCTCCGATTTATCAAGAGTCCCATCGCCCGTAGGAGTTGAAGTTGACTGTGTCGTTGCTTCAATTATTTACCCTGTTCCTTTACAGATAGATGTATCTAATATCCTATGTGCTTATAAGCAGCTGAGCAAATTGCACCTCGCTACTTGTATTTTTAACGATGTTTGCTGCCTTAAAGAGCATTAACGTGTTTAGATTCGCGCCGTTTGTGTCATTGTTTATGTTTGTTCTGTCTCAGTTGTTTTTTTCAGTTTGCTTTAATGAAACTGGACACGTTATTGAATGTACCATACACGAAAATATAACACCGAAAACAATATGTTATTATAGTTTAATTCAAAATATTATTTGCAGTTTATGTATTTTCTGAGTATGGTATGAGGTTAAAGCTACATGCATGGGTATTACGATGTGTTCACGTTCGTCATTCGTGTGAGTAGTGTATAGCATATAGCATGTGTCATCATTCCGACATCGTTTTCTGTTTTGTGGGACAGGATACCGTTGTTTGTGAATACCTGGTGTCAGTGTATGAAATAAGCCAAAAAACAGCCAGACATCAGGGCTGGTAACTTCAAAATGTTACCAGCCAAAAATAGATATAACCCCAGACTAGACGATCCAAAGAAAATTATTCAGATGTAGGGAACATGCTATCTAAAAATTTTACTCGACCATCGGGCTGGCTAGCTGTAAATTTAGACCGCCCGTCAGAAATCTAGCCCGTCTCGGGCGGTCGGAAGGGCCTTATTTCATACACTGCCTGGTGTCATAACTGATTTTTAGTGATTCAGTCAAATCATTCAACGCATTTTACGCCCAATAGAATCTGTTTCTGAGGCTTATCGACTATTGATGTTCTCCAACGTTGACGTTGACGTTGAAATGGACTCAAGGACATTACGACGTATTCACGTTCATCATTCATGTGAGTAGCGCAATGCATGTAACATGTGTCATTCTGACATCGTTTTCAGTTATAGTGGTGCAGGACACCTGTAAACACCTGGCCTCGTCACTGATAGTGAGTGATTCAGTCACATAATTCTCTGCATTTTATGCCCACTAGAATCTGTTCTGAGGCTAATCGACAATTGCTATTCCCCAACGTTCACGTTGACGTTGACGTCGACATGCTATATACTCGATATGAGGATCATTTCTTTGATTTGCCTTTCACGTGTACGCAGTCTTGAAATATTTAAAAAATTAGATTCTGAGGAAAGCGGGGATTAATTGTAATCACAATTTAACATATATACCGTAAATGAATGCAAGCAAGACTACTGATTTTCAGCATCTCATGCTTGTCTGAAGAGGTGACTAACGGGACCGGGTGGTCAGATTCGCTGACTTGGTTGATCGATGCTCACGATGTTGGTCATTGGATTGTCCTGTCCAGAGTCGATTATATCCCGACAGCCGTCATATAGCTAGCTGCTTGGTGTGGCGTTAAACAAAAACAAACCACAAAAACACCAAAGTAGCGCAACACCTGCATCGTATCAGGCACAAAAACCCATACTATCCTGATAACAGTATGTTTGGCTACAGGCAAAGTTTCGACCTTAAATAGCTTAAAGATTAAAACTCCCAAACAGATCACAATGATAAACACATCTTTAAAAAACCCAGTTCCATATAGCATCCATACAACATCTGAAGCTCATGTCCAGTGTTGATGGGGCGGTGGGGTAGCCTAGTGGTTAAAGCGTTTGCTCGTCACGTCGAAGACCCGGTTTCGATTCCCCATGGGTACGATGTGCGAAGCCAATGTCTAGTGTCCCCGGCCGTGATGTTGCTGGATTGTTGCTAAAAGCGGCGTAAAACCATACTCACTCACTATCAAGTATTAACTCGTTGTTAGCAGACAAGGGCGGTGGGGTAGCCCAGTGGTTAAAGCGTTCACTCGAGACGCCGAAAACCCGGGTTCAATTCCCCATGGGTACAATGTATGAATCCCATATCTATTGTCCCCGCCGTGATATTGCTGGAATATCGCTAAAAGCGGCGTAAAACCCAACTCACTCTCTCACTATGCAGTGTTGTTAACTCGTCATTAGTAGAATAACAGTAAATGCGGCGTAAAAGCCTGCTCACTCCTTGAAATAGATTACCGGAATCAATAACCAGTGTTTGTTGTTGATGTACCCGCATGTACACAATACAACTATTGCCTGTGTGTCTTAACTTCAGGTAAGGTCACCTCAACAGGATAACAGTTAACCGATGTCAATTAGCATCAAGTATTCACCGCCGCCAGCTAGACGTGTGAAGCGCTTCAAAGTGCAAATGGAATTCTTTTAACCAACTTTGTTTTAGCCTGAGGAAATGTTTGTTTGAATGAATACGTAGATATGTATGTTTAGGAGCGTCCATAAGGACAAGGCGTGTTGTGAGACGCGGGGACTGTTACGTGGTGTTATTCAAGGTAATGACGACACTATTTATTTTATATCATTGATACTGCTACCGATACTGATTACTTCTTTGTTGATTGTTTACGTACTGTTAGAACGTCCCGTCTCTTCGGCGATGGTGAATAAACAGTTGCTTTATCAAATAAATATTTTTATATTTTTTTTCAGCTCACCATCACACATTCGACAGCTGATTTTGTGAGAGGATACGCCCACAGCACAGAACAATGCTTGCAAGGGATAGTCTAAACAGTGATCAATGGTTACATTTTGTTGATCATCGTCATTACGCTCAGTAATTTGTAATTAGTAAATATGAATAATTCATGCAGGAATCGAATTCGAAGCTATAATGAATAATCGTAATTTAAAACTATATTCCATTCGAAATGAACCAATTATGTTTCACTGTATCAAAATATACTTAGATCGAACTCTCGTATATCCGGACCCTGTGCAATGAATCCCGAGGCCTACTGCACGGAACTTCATGTATACAAAGGGACATTACTCAGCTTGGTGAATTTTTAACCGCACAAATAATGATCCAAATATTAAGTTAATCCGAACGATTTATTTTTTACAGTTGTCTTGCCTTTGCGTGTGTGTGTGACATGTGTCACTATTAGGGCATAGTACGCTCACTTTGAGTTGAACACTCGGTACCACCACTCTTTGGTTGACCCGTGAAGATCCGGGTTAGAATTGATCTTCTGTAACCCATGCTTGTCGTAAATGGCAACAGAAGGATCGGGTGGTATATTTTTGGTCCATGTATATCTTTATCGGAGTCGTACTTGTTGAAAGATGTTTCGTAAGAGGGGACTAACGGGATCGGGTGGTCAGGCTCACTGACTTGGTTGACAGATGTCATCGTATCCCAACTGTGTAGATCGAAGCTCGTGTTGTTGATCACTGGATTGTCTGGTCCGGATTCGATTTTTTACGGACCGACGCCATATAGCTGGAATATTGCTGAGTGCGGCGTAAAACAACAAACCAAACCAAATCAAACCACTCTTTGGTTATGATTCATAAACGCGGAGTCATCAGTCGGGATCGTATAACTCTGGTCTTGGTAGAGATTTGATAATGATTTTACTAATTTCATTGTAAAGGTAGTCCGGATTAACAAGGTGTTCTCAATATAATCTTCATGACAGCTGACCATCTGCAGATCAACAAGAGAATGTACACTGTACGTAGTCTCTAGAGCACTCTTCACAACATATCAGGCACATCTCGAGCCAACGAGCCGATACCATCACCAATCACAACCCAATCACTACTTGTTGATTTTTTCAGCAAAATACACGTGTTTTGTCACCCGCGAACAGATCTTGGGGACCGATAGACCCTTGTCGCAATGGGATAGACGGCGCTTGATGAGACCGAGGAGCTGTGATAGACATCGGGTGTACATAATTCACCAGTGAAGAGGAGAGACGAGCCAGAGCAAGAAACAAGGGATTATAACGTGGTGATTAGAAACCAGTACAACGAGCACAGTGAAATGATAAGAGCACATCATTGCAGATTGTGTTACTGGCTGCCGTCTGAACCCAAAGGACTACAGACTTATACAGATGACGTATTTACATGAAAGCCACGCTTGTGAAGGATACGCTGGTATATTCGCGATGTCTTTATCGAAAATTAGTTCATTGAGCGAGTTCTTGAGTTTTTAGTGGGTGGGTGAGTGGGCGGATATGATTTTATAACGCATTTGACAATATTCGAGGTATTTAACAACGGAGGGATATTGCGAACAGGCACCTCGTATTGTAGTGAGTGAGTAAGTGAGTGAGTGAGCGAGTGGGCGTGTGTGAGTGAGTGAGTGAGTGAGTGAGTGAGTGAGTGAGTGAGTGAGTGGGTTTGAGTAAGTAAGTGAGTGAGTGAGATGGGTTTACGCCGCTTATAACAATATTCCAACAATATCACGGCTGGGGACACCAGAAATGTGTCCCCAGCAATATCAAGGCGGGAATGGGCTTCCCATAGTGTACCAATGCGGGAAACCGAACCCGGCTCTTTGGCGTGACGAGCGAACGCTTTAACCACGAGGTTATCCCACTCACTCACTCACTCACTCCTGCTCTAAGATTTCTTTGTTTCAGCGAGTGACATAGATCCATACACAGAAGCAGTTATTGCTGTTTGGCCTATTGTGTTTTGCCATTTTTTTGTTTTTGTTGATATACACCATTACGTCTGAGAGATGCATGCGTAAAAATAAGGTTATTTAGGTGAGAATAAGGTAATAATATAATTACATAAATGTAAATATATATCTTCATTAAAACGAATACACATGGTTCGAATACCTTCAATATATCCACTATGGGCGGTGGGCTTGCCTGGTGGTTGAAGCGTTCGCTCGTCACGTTCGATTTCCCACACATGGGTACAACGTGTGAAGCCCATTTCTGGTGTCTCCAGCTTGGATATTGCTGGAATATTGCTAAAAGTGGCATAAAACTAAACTCACCCCCAATATAAGCACTGCTCATACTAAAACCTTGCAAAGTAACTGGTCTAAAATCTACTGTCCCTAACTGTCAGTGGTAGTCTGTCTCCCAATCCCTGAACCACATTATTTTCCCTTCCACCAAGCCGTTTCTGCAGTGATAACGTCGTAAATGAAGCAAGTCTAGATTTCCAGAGGTTCAACCTGAATCTCCAATCTCACTGGGGCTCTTTTTCAGTTTAAAAGGAATTGTTTGTTTCTGTCTAAATCATGTATATTCAGAGACCAAACGTTAGTCTATTTCAGCGGTCGTGAAAGGTTGAACAAAACGGAAATTAATTTGAAAAATGAAAAGAAAATCCAACATCGTGTCATTACATAACTACATGCTTTTTGCAATGGAAAAAGGAAATATGTGTATGAGAAAAACTTTTCAGATAATGGTTTTGTTTAGTATGTTTAGTTTATGTTGCATTAGTTAAATGACGTCAGTTATCTCACTAAATGAAAAAACTCAGAGTGTGAGTGGAGTCGGTTGAGTGAGGCGTTGAGATGTATACGTCAGTCGAGGATGTTTTTAAGTGTAGACAGTTTTGTCAATCACGTCTCCAATTCTGCTTTTGGGTGGGACACGGTATTGGTGAAAGACATTTAGAAACATTCGTATGTTGAAGCATTAGACTGTCACGATACATTATCTGATGTAGACGTACAGTGGTTTGTCGACTGAGTGGGGGTTAATGTAAAGGTGGCTGGGTGTGATGTCTAAAGTGACCTCAACCTTGTGATGTGAACAGACACGTGGAGTCCTCTTAAATACTTAAACTACTTATGTTATTATCGCATTCGCCGTCACCTTACACCACCTTCAACATCACCATCATCCACATCACCCACATCATCCTCACCATCACCTTCCCTTGGTATCACCCCCATCTTCACCTTTCCTGACATCGCTCTCACCTTCTCCTGACATCACCCTTATCTTCTCCTGACATCTCTCTCACCCTATCCTGACATCGCCCTTATCTTCTCTTGACATCACCCTCACCTTCTCCTGACATCACTGTCACCCTATCCTGACATCACCCTTACCCTTATCTTCTCCTGACATCACCCTTATCTTCTGACATCACCCTCACCTTATCCTGACATCACCCTTACCCTCACCTTCTCCTGACATCACTGTCACCCTATCCTGACATCACCCTTACCCTTATCTTCTCCTGACATCACCCTCACCTTCTCCTGACATCACCCTTACCCTCACCTTCTCCTGACACCACCCTTACCCTTATCTTCTCCTGACACCACTCTCACCTTCTCCTGACACCACCCTTACCCTTATCTTCTCCTGACATCACTCTCTACCTTCTTCTGACATCACCCTTACCCTCACCTTCTCCTGACATCACTCTCACCTTCTCCTGACATCACCCTCACCCTCATCAGACTGATTCATCAATAAATAATGCCATGTCCCTCTACTTATGCGAAGACCGTTGTACCCTGTGGGTGGTTAATATAAACTCAAGGAGCGGTATGAACAGTTACCAATCGATGTGCAACAATCTCCTCGTATCACACAATGAACCCTACATTGTCGTTCACGAGTTATCCAAATGTTTCGATCAACCACAAACCCATCCATTGATAACAAGGTGCCCTTGTGAATGATGTTGAGTGTCGAAGTATTTGAAACAAGTCAAACGAGTTAAGCTCATTCTTATCAACCTGTCGTTTGTCCCATAATAGTTTGTGCCATAATTACCTCCAAAATCTGCAATTATATATTACAAAAAAGATAAGATTCTTTTAAGCTGCGGGTCAGCCTTATTTTTTTTCTATACTATAATTATTTATTGTGAATATGTTTTAGAAGAGCCTCACTCAGCTCAGTCTGGAATGGCCCATTGAATATTTTATTGTGTAATACTGTTGCAATGCATTGGGCTAATACTGTTATAAATATGTGCATTGAAATTGTCGCGTAGGCGTTAGGTGAGTATCCGAATCCACAGCCGGGGATGACCTAACTCTCTTCACATATCCCATCTTCACATATTCTTAAAAAATAGCATTTAAACTGATACTATCATATCCACACAATACTCTGTGAAATATAAATTTAACACATCATCGACTCACTGATAACATATGTTTAGCATGAAAACATACATTTACTTAATAATAGTCCCCGCGACATACGACTCTGGCTATTTTATTCGTGAGAAGTCATTCAACGACTTCCGAGCCACCGCTAAGAACAATGTAAGCTAACGCCGTTTGAGGGGAAGAAATTCGTGTAGAAAATCGTTAACATGCCGGGACAACGAAATTTAACGTGAGGAAATATTAGTCGTGACTCTCCCACAGTTTCCCGTGTCTCTTTAGCGTGCTGTCCGCTTTAGTTGTTGTCCGATTCTAGAGTCGTATGACGTCGAGTTCCCCGTAAGTATCAATTACATGCTATTCACAACCTTTTCCCAGGCTCATCCGCTTCTGTAAGTTGACTATAGAGTCAGCCCCGATAGTTATGGGTGAGCGGCGTTGTGAATCTGTTTCAAGGCAGACCCTAACAGTCACGAAGCTGCAACAAGCAGGGTCTACCTCTGCCCTGGCAGTCCTTTGATCTACTGGGATGAGCTCGCCTGTTAGTGGCGGCCGACTCAAGCCGAACTCTCGGTCGCCATCTTCCGTAACGCTTGAGTGACGTACGTCAAATGACGTCGAAACCCGAGCCCGCCGCCATTGTGTTTTTCGAATCGCCGTCTCTCTCTGCTTACTCTCGGCGTGGCTCCCCCTCTAAGAGGCCACCCATCCAGCGGATGGCAGTATTTAGCGTGGAGAAGGAAACACACATGCAACAGTGGTCAAATATCTCTTGCTGTAAACTCATATAGGTAACATCGCGTGTCGCTCGAAGCCCATCAGACCAAGCACGACGATCACCTAACAAATAGATGTACAAACACAGAGTGAAATGACACCAAGGCCGAACAAACACGAAGACCACGGGAGTAAAGAAGTTGCTCTTCTGATCGACCAGGGAGATTGTAGCGGTTAATTGTGATCTCTTATGATCCGTTAAAGATCAGTGTTTTAGTAGCGCTGCGTTGGTTTCAGTGTGGATGTATTAGAAGCCGTGACACGGTGACTATGGGGTTGAGACCATGTCAGGAGTACATAGATAAGGGAAAGACACACCTGGCTTACAGTAACATGGCTTCAAGCAGCGATACTATCACCAGTAACCCACCACTGACGTAATATGGAGCTACTCGGAGCCAGGGTCATCAGATTGGGGTGACCAATTCGATCAGAGAGAAAAATAACATACACTTCCTAGGTAGTTCGTGTTTATCGCTATAGATAAAACCAATCGTGTTATATTGAAAACAAAACGAATACTTTTGATCAGTGACATAAAACTGATCAAATCATAAAGGGCATGAACACTAAATTAGTTCTTGGCTGGTAAAGTTGACACCAGCGCTGAGATTTATCTGAAAACGTAAAAACAATAATGAAAATACAGAATACACGGGAATTTATTTTATAAGATTTTGAGAGCTGATTTAAAATTAAACTGTACTGAAATTAATATGATTTAATTTGTGGGTGTTTGAATGGGATCGTGAAATGTGAAATTGAATGTTTCAGTTTCTTAACTGCTGTATTCAAGTAAATAGTATTTACCTACCAATTTCCCAAATATGTTAAAATAACCAACTAATCAATCATTTTTATGTCGCTTGTTAAGTATCAACGCGCACATGCTAAATGTCGACAGTGATCAAACTTTAATTTGTAATCCGGGGAGATCGGTGTATTAATGATACCAGGTAGCATGATGCCATTCGAATATAAAAAGTACATAAAGTGACCACATTAGATTATGAATATGAACAAAACTATTAAATGCTTGTTTATATGTATACAAATTGGCGTACATAAACAATATGATAATTGTTGTTTTCCTGACGCCATTTTAGCGATATGCGTCTCACCTGAGAAAAATTCCAGGAAATGTGTCATGCTCGAAATATACAACTCAACAGTCACCCTGTACTATACGGTAAGTGGCGCTTCTCAAGCTATTGATCAGAGAGATGGATCTTTACATTCAAGTTGGAACAAACTAAACTTCAACAAACACTCCAGGAAACTGTTCTATGAAAACAAAAACTACGAATATCACATGTGCCCGACTATGAAATAAACATCAAAATTACTTTTGATTTGAAATGTACAAATGAACCCAAGACAATTCCCCCGATCAAAAGAAATCACCACAAAAAGCAGAGATTATTGTCCGATTATGGACAATAGTTAAACTGGTCAGTTGACTTATCAAACAGATGTTGAAGATTGTATGAATCATTCAAGACAAAACGTAAATCAGCATATTTCTTGTGTTGTTGATTTGATATTGGATAATACGGGGGCCTAATTATACTGTCTAATGACTACTTAAATTTTTCTATGAAAGTAGCGATCGTTATTTTGATAAGCGATTGATTACTTGAGATGAAGATGTAATCAGCCATAGACGTTTAATTATGTTAGTGTGTTAGCAACAAGTAGCCTTGTTAGTGACTACGGCGTTGGAGCGGGATATTCGTTCTTCAAATGGCGCTGGCTCCGAAATGTCAGACAGTTGTTGTGGGGAAAGGAACTGGCTTAGAGTCACCGAAACATGTCAGGTACGATTTGAAAACCTCTGTCACTTTGATATTTTTAATCATTAAACTTCTCAGTATAATATTTCATTATGAACACATTTAATGTTGAATATTAACATTTCAAGACGTACCACGTTGTTGCAATGTAGACTCAGGAATGTGGTGTAACTGTTGGGAATCTGATGAAGCTATTTCACATCATATTAGCAATAAAATGAAATCGATGACATGCTTGTCATATTTGAGTTAATGGTGTGGACAGATTGGGCGTCGGGAGATCATCTTTCAACAGATTTTAAAAGGACTTAAACAATTTAGGTTAGATAATTGTAAGCGATATACAACACCTTGGCAGACCCTACATCGGGTTTCAATTTCCCACACGGTGTTCAGACTGGAATGTTCATTATTACAGTCTTAATTAAGTCACACACGGTAAATCACTGATTTTTATTATTTAATTTTTCAAGAAGAAGAGAGATATAGTCCATTACTGAATGGATCCAGAAATATAGTCAATGTATCAATGCTATTAACACATTATATACATGTAAATGTGCATTATGGAATGTTCACATGCTGTCAGTCTGCAGGAATGACAGTGACATTTCAATAATGCAAGTCGTAATTTGTAGATGGGGTTCGTGATGTTATATTTATCATCCTTTATTCTTCAAAGTGGTTCATCAGCAGCATCTGCCCAATACCCAATGAAGCAATGGAATGCTACCTTCATTCGTCGTTGTCTCTTGATAATTATTAAATGTATATGTAAATTGCGAGATAAATGGTACTGAATGGTAAAATATTTTTGATTTTAATAAATCATATGTTGAATGTGAATTGCTTATGTTTTCATTCCTACAACTGTACTGTTTAAATTATGCGTTGTAGATGATAAAAAGTAATTTTCATCTTTGATCGCCATCTGTTTTCTTAACCTTTATAGGCTATCGAAATAGCATTCGGTGCGATAATGATATATCCTAATATACCTAGATATTTGTACATATTAGTTATCTTGTTGTATGAACCATCTTTTGGTTGCATCCAGTGATGATATCATCTATTACCACATACAAAAGTTCAGGGGTTGGTTAAAAACTGTATTCAGCAGATAGATTTCACACATTATAATTCTTGTGATCCATATAGATTTATCTTTGGAAATATAAACATGAAGTGTTGTGTAATCAGATGGTACATGTCATCGAGAATTAAATATGCATCGAAATGATGTAACTGAAAAGAGTCTAATCAAAATGACCGATATGTATTTAGATATCCATAGATTCATGTACCTCGATCGTTATGATCTAACCAGTATATCACTTACTATATTCGGATCGGATATTGCTATAAAATGTTTGTTGGGGTTCCAAATACATTTAATAACTGAAAAACGAAATACTTAAATATCGAATATTAGAAAAGTGTACATTAAATATCCATTTATCAGTATATAACAACTGATGAATGCCCGCATTAGACGCTAAGCACCTTGCCATGCATTTAGCGACAGGTTGTGTGTATACGAAGCTTGTAGATTTCAGGTGATGAGCTGTGTAATAAATCATCGCCACCTGTCACAAGGGCTATATCAGCATATGTCAATCAAACCGACTCATTACAGTCAGCTCTAACACCATAGATGCTTGCTTATTTCAATACACTCATATTCGCTCATGAATATAGATTTGATGTTGCAATCAGATATACACTTCACCTACGGATGCGTTGTGTCATTTAAGTGAATTAATTTATTGTATCACCCCTCATCTACAAAATATGTAGAAAGTTCATGAAAGCTTTGTATAGATACCAAGCCAGTGAATTTTAAGGAAATGGACTTGCGCCTACGGGCATAGGGGTATATAGGCAAAACCTACGTTAAATTTATTGCCTTTTCCACTTATCAGATAACATATTTCTCTATTGTCCCGAAGCCAGTGTGAAATGAACGAGGTGGGATGAACAAGATGGTCCTATCGCAAAAATGATGGGCATACCTGGACGAAATAGGTCCTGGAGAAACGCATCTTGTCTTCAGGCCTCTGTTGCCTGTGTTAGGTAAAGCGTGACGGTGACGGGTATGGGTAATTATGACCCGGGCTTTCATCCAGAGTATTGGGAAACGGCAGCGAGGGATGGATGGCTAACCCTCAGGCGACTGGATGCTTAAACAGTCGCCGCATATTACCGTGTCAATACAGTACCGATGGCGCGACTCCACTAGAACTCCTATAGAAGACGCCATGAAAATTTGACCGGGGGCGCCAAGGTTGGTAACTGCGATCGTTTCGGCTAATTACACGTGGCTTTTCGCAGGGTCGAGGAAAGCATAACTAGCAAAAGGGCATGTTTATGAAAAGCTTTGTGGGCGGGGAGGACTTATACTAAACTCTCTCGCACTTACTTGTGTGAGCCTTACTACTCAATTGGTCAGTCCATGCGAGACGATGTTATCGGGGTACAGACCCCTCGACCCACACACGCTTCAGGGGTGCTTGTGGTCTCCCTCGTTGACCAGGTTACACCGCAAAATCCCTCTAACAAAGCAGGCATCTGATAAGAACGACACACAGATTTCATACCATTCAGTCATGTCAGTGACCAAAATAAACGCTTCACCTGATCTACCTATTTATTTATTTCAAACTTCCGCTTGTTGTCGTGACATATCTACTGACGATCCCAAACAAAATATTGAAACCAAATTCAACCGAAATACCTTTTCGTGATACTGCTTCTCGAGGGAAACATTTTCAGATATTCATAAAATTGTTGACTTTTTCATAATTTTATTTGATTTTTTAAATGAATTACAAATATTATATATTTATTACTTTCTTTGTCTTAAAATCGTTTTTCCGGTTTATAAGCATGTTTAATTTATGAATAAATTCAAAATAGTAGGCTTTGATATTTAATAATTCATTGTTGTAAGTAGAAATGTTTAAATAATTAAACTGCGTTGATAATTGTATATTTTTCATTACGTTTATTTTGTGTGAGTATGTTCTTAAAGGTTATTTTCCTCAATTTTATACATTTCTGGGCTACTTTTTAAAGAAAACATCAAGTGTCAATAAGGACAAAGACTATAAAAATACACTCACTGCTTTGAAGCCACATCTCCATTTAATACACCGTTTAATCCAAACAGCCTCTCATCGATATAAGTAAAATATAGCTGACATTAATACCGTCTTTCGTTTAAATTTCACATCATTCAGACTTCTTGAAACATTAAACTTTCAAGTTTCATTGAAACATATTTTGAAAATTTCAAAATGAAATTTTCACTTTTAAAATGAATTTTTCACTTTTTAAAAACTAGCGTAACAATAGATACCAAATTCCAGCGTCAGTTGGTTCCCGCTGTTTGTAGGTTCGTGTTATTAATGTGTCTCGGGGATGTGGTAAATATGTTCCAACGCTATGTTATTATATATGACGTGTGAGTCAAGAACTGTCACTCAGTGCATGTGTCAAGACCCGGCCTTTCGAAAACAACCGCTTCCCTCCGTCGTCTCACATTGGCCTAACAATACCACCCAAACACAATCGTCTCAGTTCAGCATGTACTTATTGTTTACCAAATGTCTTTATACCCGGGCACTTCACACCTTTTGTTCTGAACAATAAATGCTACACCTATTAAAGTTTTCTGAGTCTTTGTGAACTGACCCTTGCCAAGCAGATGTGAAGGGGAGAGAAAGTAGATATCCCAAATTGATCGTAACATTTCGTTTTAAAGAGGTTCGAAAACTGATGTGAATTTTCTCAATTGCAAACCCTCACGCTAAGAGCAGGAATGTCCTAAACCCTGATATGCATGTGTGTAGTACATTTGTTCTGTTTATTAGAACATTGCTATCGATTGGTTCATGTGTCGTGATCCAGCTGTAATGCACTGCTATTTATTTTACGGTTTTATGCTACTTTCTAAAAACACAATTCAAAATGTTTTGATTCGGCCAAGAATAATTTTTACGAAAAAGTAACAAAATTCAGTCCTTATACTTTCCCCGTTATTTCATTATAGTATTTCTTACCCTGTCAGAATGGTATGTTTTAGACTGTAATAAATACTTGTGAAATATTTCTTGAATCACGATTGACTTATCCGATATAATATGGCTATTAATGATAATGGTATTTCGGCAAATATCAATAGTTAATTACTCTTTTCTAGTTATTCCCAGAAACGACTAACATGTACAAGGACACGTGAACATTGACATTAACCCTTTCGAAATTACTTCACATATTATGGTATCCGATCATGATAAATTGTATAATCACCACCATGCATAACAGTGAAACAAGTAAATTGGTATACTCGCATGTGTAATAAAGAATTATATACATTATCACTTGTAGATGTTATATAATAATAATTAAGCGATGTTAATGCCATGTAATCATGAGCGATCGATTTAGATTTGGTTACAATAGTAGGTTAACTGCATGTATTATCAAAGGGTGGGATGAGCTCAATCCAAATGTCATTTCTCTGAAACAACACTCACCCCTACCCAGACCCCCATCCCACCCCAACTCCGACCCCCATCCCAGATTCGATCATAAACAATTAATGAAGCCCCTGTCCCCAAATTCATTCCCGTACAGCATAATTTTAATACGGACACAATTCACCTGGGATAAAATAAACGAACAACGTTATTGTTTCGTTTGTTAGTGATGAAGATTGTATGTTGCTTCGTTATGTAGCAAATTCCCTGTATATTATATACACCCATTCCACATACTATCATTAATAAATATAACATATGCTCCATAATATAACATAATACTCCATTTATGCTCTGCCCGTCTTCTTAGACGGGACTGTTTTTCACAGCGAACTGTTTCCTTGTGTAATGCATGGTCACTCGCACATTCCCAGTGTGTTCAAACACCTGAAAAAATGTGCAAGAAGTGTTTTAAACTAAAGAAACTGATACTTTAATTTGAATCGATTTTTGCGTAATTTTCAAACGTTGCTTTGGAACTTGCAACGAATTAGCCCTAGAAAGACAGAGGTAATTAGGTTCCCCTTGTTGTTTGCTTCGTTGAAACTGATATCACGCAATAAAACTGAAAAAAGTCATAGAGCTTATTAAAGCTGGTCTTCTTAGACTCTATCGACAGCTGCCTGATAATTGAGCTCAAATTGAAAGATCTAACAATGTTACACTAATATTGATATATCTATTTGTTCTCATTTGAAGTAATTAGTTATGTATGCAAAACTCATCGCTTGAAAACCACAGGCTGAGGACAGAATGGTTTCCTCAGCAAGAACAGCTGTAAACCTAATGATGAAATATGTAGCTGGCGAGGTTTTGCGTATCAAACGAAGTCGCTTTAGGGATGAACGCTATGGTTAAAGTAACGGAGCCTCGTCAAAACATGGCGATCCGGTGACATGACGTTCTTCTGTTGTGTAGCTACTATGAACACAAGCATGTTGCATAGCGTTGTCCGATTCAGCAAATGCATTTATGTACATTTATGGTGTTCGGTATTTTAGCGCGCTTATGTGTACTTTGAATCACGCACAGTTATATTTGTAAAACCTTTGGGAATTGTTAACTTCCGTGTCTTTTAAGTTACTAAAAGGTAATTCGTGTCTTTTTTTAGCAAACAGATTTCTGTTAAACATGATACTTTGGTTTGGTGTTATCTGTGTTAAGTGTAAATGATAGGCGTTTTGTTGGTAGCTCTTATAATCGTATCAATACAATATTACTATTGTAATGTATTGTTTCTGAAAGCTTTGGAACCGTTGCATTACTACTGTTTGTTATGCCCCGTGACTAGTGCTCAATCGTGACTTTGATCAATGGATTGTGAATGTCCTATGCAAGGAAATATCATTAAATCTCACACGATTATAATAGGATGGTCCAATATTATACCATTACAGTGTATTCATCTTTATGGAATTCGTGGAAATGATGTCGATTTATAATCAGTTGTAGATTTCGTTTATCATAGTATAGTTCCAGACTAAATGCACACCATATAAAGGTAAACACCCCTAAGCCACACCCGAAATATTTATACGTCATCTCCTCCCGAAACCCTTGTAATTATCAACAGAAAAACATTAGTATTACTCACTACAAGCAAAGCATGACTAATACTTCACATAGTTGTGCGTTTTATTGATAAAAACTAAACCGCAAAAGTAGTAAAATACATTTTAAAATAAAAACCTAACTAAACTGACATTATGTCAAATATTGAAAATTCTTTTCTCATAGCGCATAAACTATATTGACGAATGATGGTATGCATGTTACAGCTCCGAGAAACATACTAACATCGATATACATGTATGATCGATCTAACATTCAATCTTGATAGACTATCTTGTGTTGCATATCAATAACAAAGAGTATTTCTTCTAAGCCTTTACATCTGATATATTTTATTACTATACTTTAGTAGAACGATTTTATTTCTATCACTAACGATTTGAAATCATGTATAAAACTAGTGAACTTGAATCAGATTACCCGTAAGGATTTCTCGTGTTATCCTAAAAGGGAATCTGCCATTGAAAAGGCTGCTCTACAATATTAAACCTTACAGTGATAGTAGCGCCTCTAAACTGGCAACTTTCTAATGATTATTTTATTATCTCTGCTTTTATATGTTGACACGGAGGTTTACCCATGAAAACTCTCTCTTCTTATCATGTAAGAAAACACCGTCTTTCTACAAGATGGCAAGTATTGATATACAATATTCATGATAATCTTTAGGCTAGAGTAAGTCTAAAAGTAATGTCGCATATTATTTCAACGCCTTTTTCAAACTTTTTATGTCCCATACATTTCAAACGTATGATTTTAAATAACTTGATTTTAAGTTTCAACTAACAAGTTTCGCTTACACTTTTAAAAATCGGTTTATATCATTCGCTTCAAACGTATGATTCTGATTGAGTTGTGACTGATAAGTTAATTAACACGTAAGTCTTTCGCTTTTCCGTAGGGTTTATTGATGGGTGTATGATGTTCTATAACATATTGTGCCTGTACAGCTCTATGAATATAACTATATAATTGAGTAATATAGTCTGAGTGACAGGTGTTAAAATGATTTCCGATTTCAAAGAGACGTAATTATCAAGGTACAACAATTCTAAATGCATTGATATATGTAATTGTCGAGTGTCGCTCTTTCACACTAAGTGATTCTATACTGATGAATAGGATACCTAATATTGTAAGTTGAAAACAGTGCAGTCAATTAAAAAAGCCCCCACTCGTGTAATACAAATGTGCCTAAGTTGCTTGGGGCATTTTTCACAACCAATATGATCTTTCATTGATTTAAAAAAAAACACCAAAACATAAGCAACTCTAACTGTCTGCCATACATGTACATCTGTTTCTGAAAAAAAAAATTTTTCTTTCATTATATATTTATACATATGAACTGAAATATCATTTTAGTAAACTTGTCACAGTATGGATTATCAACAAAATAGCGTGGCGAGATATGAAATGTATATTTGTACTCGCGTATATCTTAATTTATCGCTACTTTTTCAAAGTATTTTTAGGTTTTGTCATGATGGAGATCCGGATCTGT